AATCAACATGCATTTCTGAGGTCCCCTTGGTATTAGACTCTACACTGAATAGATTCTTAATTCATGATCCCTACATTTAAAAAGAGGGTTGTGAAGGCTAAAACAAATAGTCCTCAACCACAAAAACACAGGATGGAAGACAAAGATTGTCATATATGAAAGAATTGTAGTAAAAAGAACACAGAAGCATTTGCCAAATTATAAATTCCATCTTTGTTATCAGCTAGTGTGTATCCTAGTTTTCTTCTCTGTAAGTAATAAAATGGATCTATTATCTACTGTGTTTCCTTCCATTAAGGGTTATCTTCAGAAACAGATAAGGTCATGGACATGAAAACAGTGAAATAAAAATTTAGATTGTCACTAGGATATTTGCATAATCTCGCTCTATACAAACAACTTGCAAGTCAATTATTTTACTTATTCTTTTTATTGTGAATTAGGGATTCTCAGGCTGAGAGGGTGGGGAGTTGAGGCATAGCTGGGTTCCTCTGAGCCTTTCTGACAATTTCAGTTTGCAAAAATGCCTGCAGACCCTATGCAGGTGCCACTGGGTCCAGCATAACCTAGGTTACCATCAGTTGTCCCTTGCTGTGTTGTAGGATTGCTTAATGGGGAATGCATTGTGTTTCTTCTTTTTACTCTACACACATTGAGAAAATAAACCACAGTAATTGTGAAATCAGAACTTTGGTGAAATACATTGCAGCACAACCCGTAAGCACATTGTGATGGACCCTGCTGGGAATAGCTACAGGTTTAAGGGTGAACAGGAGAATCAGGTTGTCAGAGGTAAAAGGATAAATGTGTGGAAGGGGTCTTTGTTTGGTTATGAGTGGTGTCGAGTAGAGGGCAAGATAGAGTGCCTCTCCATTCCTTCTGCAGAATATGCCCATGTTCTGGGCTGGAGACTCCATGCCCCGGTAAGTTATGCAGGGTGAAGTAGGGAGCTCAGTGACACATGGCAGAGAATGAACACTCAATCAGAAGAATGTACCCACATGCATAAAAGAGATTGCTGTGGAGATTTTTAAAAAAAGGTACAACAAAGTTTAATCTGTTAATTAATGATGGGGGAAATCAGTTCTCAATTTCTTCTTGTCTATCTGGGTCACCACCTAGGTAACCTATTCCAATCCCATGTTCCATGTTTCTACATAATGATAACTCTCAAATCTCTTCCTTCCTTTCCTTTTCTTTTTCTTTCATTTCCCTTCCATTCGTTTCTTCCATTGCCCCCCCTTCCTTCGTTTCTTTCCCAGGGGTTGAACTACTGAGCCACATCCCTAAACATTTTATATTTTGAGACAGGGTCTCACTAAGTTGCTCATGGTCTCCCTAAGATGCTGAGGCTGGCTTTGAACTTGTGATCCTGCTGCCTCAGCCTCTGGAACAGCTGCACCTGGCCCCCTCTCAAATTTCTATCTCCATACCCAGGTTCTTCTCTGCACGGAAAACATATACATCCAACTGCCTACTGGACATCTTGATTTTCTTGTCACAGTTATTCACCTCCCAGGGAATGCACCTCAGCGAATGCACACTTCTTTCTTCTACGTTTTCAGAACAGAAAGTTGGGTTACAGCTGACTCTCCCCTTTAGATCACAGAACACATACAATGCTTTAAGAAATCCATCATCCCTCCCTTCAAAATATGCTMAAGACTATTTCTAACTGCTTCACCATCTACTGCCTGGATTGTTGTGGTAGCCTCCTAATGGATCTCTCTCTCTCTCTCTCTTTTTTAAACTTTATTACTCTGGTGTGTTGTTCTCAGAGCAGACAGCCCTCTTACCCCAAAATACAAGTCAAATACTAATGTTTCAGATTAAATCTCTCCAGAATCCAAAGTCTGTAAAATGGCCTTTAAGGCCTGACATAATTTGTCTGTCACTGACACCTCTCCTACTTCACCGCCATCCTCCTTACTCTGTGCCTCCCTCAATTTCTCTCAGCCACAGGAGTTTCTTCACTGTTCTTCAGCTAAGTACAGCACATTCCCACCTCAGGACCTTTGCACTTACTGGCACCTCCCTGGAGCACTCTTGTCTTCAGATACGGTTTCCTGGCTCATTTCTTTCATATTTAGGTCTCAGGTCTTCACCATGTGTGTTTCTAATTCATTCTAGGACACACAGTTTTTTACTCTCTCCTCTCTGTGTTCCCTTCCCCTAAGTATCAGACAGGTGTCAACCAGGAAAACAAAAATCACTCTTTGTGTTTGGAGCAGGGGGAACCAGCAGGAATCCACAAGCCTCCTGCTCTYAGGGAGGAAGGGGGGAGTCCTGGATAACCTGGTGTGAGCAGAGACCGCTGTGGTTGCGGCAGAAGCTACAGAATGGGAGACACAGGCCTAGGACAGATGCTGCCAAGGGAGGGAGAGGGAGCCACCTGGCTGCTCCCTTCCTGAAGCCCTCCAGTCTCCCTCCACCCCTCCCCTTAGATGAACTCCTGGGAGGCCTGCGCTCAGCCTGCAGGGGGCAGTACCCACCACCCAGCTCTCAGCAGAGGGCAGACAAGCTGGGCACTGGCACAGCTGGCTCTGTTTTTCCTCAGAGCAGGTCTCATCTTTGACATCTTTGGAAATTTTTGTTTATCTGTGGTTTCTCTGCTCGAGTAGAATGTCATACCCRCGAAGGCAGGGCTTTGCTGTTTTGTTCACTGCTGCATCCACAGCCCCTGAAGCCCTGCCTGGCATTCAGGAAATGTTTGTTGAATGAACAAATATGTCTCAACAGACAGTGCATCTGACTTCTAATGGAAAATGAGTTGAGTTTCCGCTGAATAGATGAGGCGGAGCCACAGTTTAATACCAAGTTAATTGTTACGTGAAAAAATAACAAGATGCGCTCTTGATTGAAGCTTGTCTCAGGTATTTATCATATCGTGACTGATAAGATCGCATTCATTTGGATAACCCTATAATTTATGATTTATTTTCCAATGTGATTCTTTTGAATCCATACGGTATTTCCCGAATGATTTTAGACTCTGGCAATTTCCATCCATCTTTCTGAATTTGTCCAGATGAAATGCCCCTACCTGATACCATTTTGCAACTAACTTTTTAAAATAACAGTTCAGAAAATTTGAAACTCTGAACTGTCAGAAAAATAAAAATTAAAAAACTGGAAGAATAAAGCAATTTTGACAATAAATGCTTGCATTATTTATTACTAATAGAATTGAACACTATAGTCTAAAAATGGGCAAAAATAAAGTATTAAATCTTAAGATTAAAATAAAATCTGGCTTTATTACTAACTAAGCAAAAAACACTCTGACAAACTACACATATGGATCAGACAGAAATATTTCTCTGTTTTGGAAAATTTTCACTTTAAGAAGGTCTACATTCATTGTTAACTATTGTTTATATTTTCTTGATCTGTCCTAGAGACTGAATGCTAAGGGATTTCTCAAAGTAACAACTGGATTTTGATTTCCCTATGAATACAGATAGATTTCTGAATAATAAGTGAATATAGAATTAAAATTCAGGATATTGTGACCAATTTAAGTATGTGAAATATGTACCAGGAGATTTGTATATGCGAGATATATATATATATATATATATATATATAATTTGTACTAGGGATTGAACTTCCCCAGCCCCTTTTGTGTTTTATTTTGTGACATGGCCTTGCTAAGTTGCTGAGGCTGGCTTTGAACTGGTGATCCTCCTGCCTCCCAAGCTTCTGGGATTGTAGGTATGTGCCATTGCACCTGGCAAAAATATTTTTTAATTACCATTCTTCCTGAACACCATCAAGGGACTGAATGTCTACCTGAAAATATGTTGTGTGTTTCAAATAACTTCAAGACCAAAGAAACTCACCTTAATCTTCTGTGAGACAAATGATTCATTCAGGTGAGTGTTTTGAGAGAGCTCACCCATAAAAAGTAATAGAAAGATCATGATATATTTCTCTCTTTGTCCTCAGACAAGAAAAATTGAAATAGATAATCTCTGTGTGAATTGATTTCTGTTCCGCCTCAACTGCTCAAATCTCCAAAGTGAATAACACTTGTTGGTGTAGTCTTGTTCATGCTTGTTTTTAAAGCTGTTTCTTTTTTATTAAAGACCTGATTACATGCTCTTAGGAGAACCAGAAGGGATCAACAAGTGTCAGTTATGCTCATTGTTCATGAGATTTTCCATACTTATTTTCTACCAGTTAACACACACACAATATGTTACCCTGTCAGAATTAAGTTCAATGGACAATCTCCCATCTTCTGAGTGAGAAACTGTATGAAGAGTTTTGCTAACTGATTAGCATGGAGGTTATAMATGTAAAACTTTATTACAAGAATTTAGAAACTCAATGAATACATGGTGGAAAAAGAGGACAGAAACTCTATCCACAGGCTCAGGGGATACCCATAGATTTTAAACACATGGGAGAGATCCTTACATTTTTTGTATATGAGATGAGTGTGTGCAAAACTTGATTTTATCCTATCTAAAGAATGATTAAATGGTCAATGTTTGTGAAACGAGGGGGAACATTTCTATCCTACTCTTTCTAGTTCCTTAATTTTGGGGGAATTGTCTCTACTGTAACACATCCTGTGTCTGTCCAATTTCTTATCCTTTTCTTTGGGAGGTGGAATAACTTATTTGATTGGTGAATTCAGAACATGCATAGGGATGAGGGGTGCAGTTATTGGGTCTCTCAAATACCAAAGGACTAGACAAAATAGAATGCTACAAAATGGTTTAATAAATGTCTTTAGTATTTAGTTATAAAAAAATCTTTCTTTTTCACATCCACAAAGCATAAAATATACTGAAGTAGAGTCAGAAATTTTGTTTTACCTAATAATGTCCTCTTAAAAGAATAAGGTAGCTCAAGATGTTTGTTGGATCTCAAACCAATAAGCATTTAGAACTGGGATTGGTAACTTGATGTTAAAGAATGATTCTATCCTCCATTTAGGCATGATTCTGATTAAGAGATTTCTTGAGGTTTATTTGAAGTATATGAATTTATCAATAATTATATATTTTTCTCAGCAGATGAACAATAATGAAAATAAGCAAGCTTAATCTTTTATCATATGATATCTTTACTCCTCCTGAATGTGCTTGCTCCTTGATACTAATATCAAATGATGAGTCTAATGGTTCTTTGCACTTGAACCAAGTATTGGGTCTCATTATCCGGGTTATGTTCTTTGCTTTAATGTCATATTCAAATTGCTTTGATCCACGGAAGAAATAGAAGAACCCTAGAGAAAGAGAATTGTGATGAGTTATCTTGCRTAACTGTGTAATGTTTCCATAGTTTTAAATCTTATGAATATAGAATTGAATAACATAAAGAACAAAGAAACTTGAGGAAGTATATAGATACAATTTACTTTTCTTCTGTCATGTGAAAAATCCTATTATTTTTATTTTCCTGAGGGGGAAGCCAAGGTATAAAGCTTAAGTTTCAAGGGACTTTTTACCTTTATGGCCAGACTGTGGTCTATGCCAGGAGTTCTCAAACTAGGTTTCAATAAAATATCCCTGTGAGGAGGAGAAGACCCCTGTGTGTTTGGCTTTGGGATTTATATTCCCATTTTATTAAAGCTATTACACTTTTATCTGTTTTAGGTTTTGAGGTTCTGTGCTAGATGTCATTGTAATAACAGATTGTATCACTTGAAGACTTCTGATTACCCCATGGTCTAGGCCATTGTCTTTGAAAATATAGTAGCTGGACTGTGCACACTAAATTGCYTGAATTTCTTTTAAAATTATAGATTCCTGAGTCTCACTTCAGTTCTACTATCAGATATGTGAAATTTGTATTTTCACCCAGGAACTCCAAGTTTTGTACCTTAAACTACATACATGAATCCAAGAATCATTGTTCAGCTTGTGTGCTTAGTTATTTTTCATACTTTTGGGAATATCTCTCAATGATGAGTAAAACTAATTTTGGTACTTTTTTACATGTATTTGAGAGAAGTTCAGCACTTACTGACCCTGTGATACAATGTCTATATGGTTGATGTTCATTATTTCATGTATGTACTTAAAGAATAATAAAATTACACCAAAATCAAAATGTGTAAGCTATTGTGCTGCCTTCTTTTATAGTCAATACAATCTCCCAAGTATGCTGATAGTTTAGGCGTCAAAGTTTACCATTACGCTGGAAAGCAGCACCAATACGGAGACCAACTCCTGGAAAGTGTTTTACCACTCTCTGTGGGTACCCTCTGTCCATGGTTTGGGTCATCTCATCGTACCTGCATAAATGAATTTGAAAGTTTTCTACTGGATTTTTGGGGAGCTTAATTCTCTTAATACCCAATTTAGACTCAAGCAGAGATATGGGTGAACAGTAGGTCTGATAGAAGGAAACTAGTGGGATTAATAATAAAAATATGGCCAAGATCATGTTTGGTTAATACTATGTTTATAGTATCTTGAAGATAAAAACTGATCAGGGGGAAAAGACCACATCATTTGTCAGACTGGTGCTATTCTGAGAAATTGTTAAATTAAACTGGGGCCTCAGCTTGCAGCCATCCTAGAATTTGACTGGATATCTTTGTGTCATTGGCAATTTGGTTGACATCAACAGCTTTATCATTTTACCTTATGTTTATTTTTTAAGTTGGAGAAAGACTGTTGAACTCATTAAAACATCTTTTACTTTGGTAAATGTCATTGACCAGAGATTGCCTTCAACATAATTCACTTAAAAAAGACTAGATTCATTTTATTTTTGTCTGGGTCAAAGTGATGCTATTGTGGACACTGTTATCCATAATAAAAGGAAAGGGTCAATTGTCTGTGAACTTACCTCCAGCACCAAATGCCCACAAAGAAGTAGGTTTTTTTGGTGCTTTGGTCACAGACTGCTGCATCAATTTTCTTCACATGTCTTGGAAAGCCAAGTGTATGAATGGACTTGGGATAATCTGGCAAGACCGCATACCCTCTGATTGCCCAGAAGTTTTTATCTAGGAACAGAGAAAGTGATTATCTTCTGATCTGTTTCCTAAAGAGAGAAGTAGGTCTCTTAAGAAGCTTGAAAATCACTAAATGCCTAGTTCCTCTCAGCTTCGGTAATCTCATGTCTATTTCTTCTTACCACTGGTTAGCTGCATATATTGTATTGAATATTTTTATTAACTGGGTTCACTGCATTGATGGCTTTTAATCAATTCTATCAAAACAATCAAGAGTGTTTGGATATGTTCTCCTAAATGTTAAACCCCACATACTCTCAAAGGGTAATAATCTGATGAAGTCCAGGTTAAAACTAAGATTGATGGATTAAATGGAAGATGCCAGCTAAATTTGAATTTCAAATAAACAGTGGCTAAGTTCTGGCATATCTAAAATATTGCAGGGGGTATACATATATTTGTTGTTTATTTGAATTTCATAGCATCCCAGATTTTAATTTGCCAAATCTGACAACCTTACAAAAAAGAAACATAAAAGAGAGATGAATTAATGGATAAACTTTTTTTTTTAATCACACAGGTTTCTTCTAGTCCCTGTGCAATTGGGATGGTGTTTATCTGCACAGCTTCAGAGAATCCCTGGATGGTTGTCCCTTTTGGCAGGAACCTCATATTAGTGCAGGAGCCCTGTCCATTTGGCTTATGCAGGAAGATTATATTTTTTACACCAAAATGCCCACTGTCTAGTTTAGGCATCCAGAGGGACAAGAGGAATCACAATGGACAAGTTTACCTTTAAAAACCAGAATCTTATCTTTGGGGTTCTCATATGCTGCTTGAAGATCAGCTGGTAGTGATGGCCAAAACGAAGCAATTAATTCAAATTCAACATTGGCGATATCGTAATAGATCCTCCATAAGTGCCTGTGTTGAACAAGAAACACTTACACATATAAGCCTCTGAATCTGTGTTCATGGAAATATTACAATCCTAGTCTTATCTTTTATCTAATTGGTTGATATCTCATACAAGTAATTTAGGGGATTAACACAATTTCCCCCAGAAAATTTAGGTGGTTGTGAGTTTAGTTATACCCTTTGGACCACAAAAATCAGGATATACCTTTGCATCCACAGTTTTGGGTACTTAGAGAGGCAAACTACCCGTGGTAATCCTAGAAATAATTGAATGCTCTCATTTTTTGCAGCAGCACCCAGCATTCTAAGCCAACATCAAGCATCCTAGGAGGAACTTCTCTATGCTAGTGTTTTCTGGAATGAAGAGATATTATCATTGGCATGCCAAAATATTTCCTCAGAGTTTCCCTGTGGCTGTAAGATTCTGAATCTATGAATGATACTCCCTTCCCCTCATAGCAATTCCTCTCCAATATCCATAACAGGTAGTCTCTCAGCCTCTGGTGGTCAGAGCATGGTAATGATGGCATGTAATAACAGTGCTGGAGTCCAATCTTAAAGAATCTTTCCTTTTGCCTGTATATCCTTATCAAATGAAATATGTCCTGATACTTTTCTCTGAAAATGTGATCATGGAATATGTAATTGACACCCAGTGCTACAATTAGATCCAATAAATCACATATAGTTAGAGAAGAGATTTCCTACTATAACTAACATTTTTTTGATGCAACATTAAGAAATGGTCAGTGGTAAGCAGACCCATGTCTAACAACTGGCTCTCCAGGTAAGAAAAGTCCTGAATTTTAACATTTGCTGCTTTCCAAAGTGTGATCACTCCAGCTAAAGCCATTTTAAGCTACCAATATGATGTGAATTGGTTTACAAAATTCTTGACAATTTAGCAATAGATTCCTTAAATCAGGTAAGAGTTGGTTTCCCACATACCATTGTGATAAATTTTTGTATTTTGGCCAAGAAGTCACTGAGACTAGACYGGATTTCATTTCCTTATATTATGGTAATTCAAAAATTTGAATTTAAATAATTAAAATTAATGTATCAAATACGTATATGATAAATGCACATGGTAAAACATTCYAACAGTATAGATGGTCATAAAATGTAAAGTATTTTCTCATCCCCATGACTCCCACTTTATCCCCAGATCCCTTGGAAAGAAATTTCTTGTAAGAAGTTGAAGTGTTTAAGGGAATGGGTTTACCTGCCTTTAAAGAACATTACTTCTCTGCGGAAGGTGGTGATAGCATCAAAAGTTAAGCCAGGGTCACAGGCATGAGGTACCATGGGCCTCCGTGGTTTGGCAGGTGCCTTAGGTGGACCTCCTTTGACGAGAAAAGAAATACCACACTAAATTAAGAAGGCATGAGGAAATAGGCCTACACAAGGACCTTACCTAAGTGAATTTTGCTTCATAATATTTCAAGAAGCCTTTTTCTCAACTTCCTTTCTGGAGCTTCCTATTTAGTTCCCATACATTCAGATTTATAATTTTGCTCACCATAGATGGATTGAATTCCATTGATATCATCCTGAGACAGTGGGTATTTGCTGGGATCCATGGAGACATAATTCGGGAACATCAAGGCTGTTTGATCATTGGAGTGAGAGAGCCCCAAGGAGTGACCAAATTCATGAGCAGCCACGAGAAACAAGTTGAACCCTTAATAAAATAGAAAATGTGAATACATGATTGGATCAAAAGGAGAATGGTTGCATCTGAGATTACAGAAGAATGAAGAAAATTCTTACTGCACAATAATTATTTTACAATCTAGGCACCATCATTTATATCTGGGAAGTATTTCAATACTAATAATTGGCACTCATAACATCACAGGGAAATTTGACCCAGAATAGGTAAAAGACTTGAGCTGGAGACTGAGAAATGGATGGTATTATAAAAATAAATAAATCAAAGTGAAGTCAGCAGTTTTTGTTTACTGCTCAGCTTTACTATATGTGATCACATTGCTTCTACTTATATTCTTCAGAGGTTCTCCACTGGCTGTAGGTTAAGACCAAGTATCTTCACGTAGCCCTCCATGATCTACTTGTTTACATGAACATATTTCTCCTTTATTCCCTTCTTGTGATGCTAACTCCTGTGGTAATGGCAGCAACAGCCCCAGATTTCCCCTGCTGCCTCAAGCTCAGCCATAATAGACCTCTGTTCTTCTCATAGCACTTCTTTTTTTTTAATTTTAATTTTATTTTTTTATTGGTTGTTCACAACATTACAAAGCTCTTGACATATCATATTTCATACATTAGATTGAAGTGGGTTATGAACTCCCAATTTTACCCCAAATGCAGATTGCAGAATCACGTCGGTTACACATCCACAATTTTACATAATGCCCAATTAGTAACTCATAGCACTTCTAAAAACAATTGTTTCACATGCTCCAACTCAGCAGTGTGTGACCATGGATTGTTCTGTGTGGAGGCTTTCATTTTTGCAGAGTATAGAACTGACTGTCCGGAGTCTCTTGGTCAGGAATGAACTGAAGCCTTGCATGCTGCCTGTCAGGAGAGCTACAACTTGTACTTCTCTGGGACCCTGAAGCCAGACACTGGGACAGAGATTGTTTGTTCAATGATAGGGAAAAAAAGAATGGAGAGAACCAGACAATCTACTGAGCCGGCTCTGTTTTAAAATGCACTCATTGTTATTGTAGTAAATGTCTGATTTTTGCTTGAAAAGTAATAAAATATCTCTAGGCCAGTGAAGCCCATGAAAAAAAATCAACTTACTTGGTATAAAAACCAGGGTCTAATTCCTTTGAATGATAACATGTTCATTCTTTTAAATAGATCCTTTATGGGCCATGAAACCACACATTATTCTTTAATCATAAGCTCAAAATTATCACTTCCCTAGAGTTTTCTTTCAGTCTTCAAGCAGTAGATGACTTCTACCATTGACGCAACACGTAACGTATTCTGCCTTGTATGGTGTGTGTGTGTGGGTACAGACCTCACACGTCATATAGGATCAAAACCCATTGAAGGGCTGGGGAATTTCTAGTGCAACTGTGTGGCCCACACATCACTTGACATAGTTTTAGACACATGGTGGACCCTCAGGCATTGTGAATTTATGAATGAGTGTGTGGATGATGCAGAATGATCATGGCAGGACTAGCAACTTTATGAGGATGTTGTGTGGATAAGGCTTTGAGCTACACAAGCACCATTGTCTGAATAGATACTGAGCACTTTCATCAATGTCATCCTGGAAGGTGGAAAATTGTGGGGAAATGGGAAGTTTATAGGTAAAAGGAACTCGTTGCAATGTTCTTCTTTTGAGATATTCTTTAGAATAATATGACTTTGTTCATAAAGAAAATTAGACTCACCGGATGTGTCCTTGGTTGTCCAGTTTTCATCCTCATCAAAGTGAGTGTCGCCACCCAGACCCAGGCCAGGTGGAAAGGCATGGCCAAGAACTCCCAAGGGGCCATCAAAATAGCGAGGACACCGACCGTGCACTGAGAGAGATACGATTCATGAGAGAAACAGGTCAGCCTGCTCACCTGAGATGAAAAGGGCCACACGGTTCTCTGGGGAAAGCCTTACCTCTTCTCCTAAAGGCAATCATGATGTCTGCAATCCCCTTGGATATCCTGGTGAATGTTAGCGGAGTAACCTTGCTCCATACCTCTAAAGCTTTTTGGATGGCCTCATCCACATCAACTTTTTCCATATCTGGAGTGTAGTTCATTATTCTTGAAAATTAACGAAATTTAGAAATTGCTGGTTATACATTTCTGGTTTACCAATCTTGAGCTGCAGTTATTTTCAGTGTGGTGGTGTTACCTTATACTTGTAAACTACTTTATTTAAACGAAATACTTTCCCTTATGCTATTTAAGTCAATTCTTTCTGCTTCCCTATGAATGATGTAGTATTATAATACTTTAACAAAGGGACCGMAAAGAGATTAAATGACTTCCCTAAGATCACCCCTCAGCGGGACAGCATTAATTTTATTCATGCATTTGCTTATCTATATAAATTATTATAGATCTGTTATTAAAAGAATTGAGACTTATTTTCTTGAATGTATATGGAATTCAATTTTATTTTAAGACTCTTAGCGAAGAGCCACAATATTTTCCACTCTGGAAAATATTTTTCACTTGTTTATATTTCCTGTCTTGCTAAACTCACTTTTTATCTCAAGACCTAAGACTCAGCAAGATGAAGGAAGAACTATCAGAAAGGTTCCAGAGCGGTAGTCAAGGTCACTGCCTCTTTCTAAGATTGGGGACACGCACCATCCTCTTTCTGGCAATGAGCTTGCCCCCTATTCTTTGAAGTCTCTGAGGGCAAACCACATGTTTATACTGGGAGCCAAGAGAGATTTGTCAGCTCTCACACACACATACACACACACACACACACACACACACACACATGCGCACGCACACCTCTAACATGAGTGCTTTTGCTCTCTGCATATACTCATCCATGCCCCAGGCATCTGCAGTCAGATGGCAGGGCTTCTGGTCCTGAGCTCCCACAGATGGCAGAGCCTAGAGGTTAGAATATATTTGCTGGAGCCCATCTCCTATGTAACCCTGGGTATGGTCCATAACCTTTTGTTTTGGTTTCTCTCTGTGTAAGGTGGCAGTAACAGCAGTGCTTACATCAATAGGCTTGTCAGGAGGATGGAATACATGACCTCTAAGTGACATGCATGTGGGGGTGCTCGATAACATAAAGGATTATTATCATTGTTTCTCAGAGGTTATATTCATCTTCCTTTTGATCAGGTGGACTTAACGTTGGCAGAAGCATTACCTGTATGTGAGGTTGTGGTTTCTCCATCCAGGGAGAGTGTAGCCATACTGACCCACATCGGGCACCCCACACCTGGGTGTCTTCATGATCTCAAGAGTTCGTGAGTCCAGCTTTCCCGTCACCGTCAATCCAAAAAACGCTTGCATTTCACGAATTTTGCCATCTAGGAGACTCCTGTTCTTGCTTTGAACAAGATGACTCCCTTCTATTTCAAGAGAGTAGAACTGGTTGAGATATGCCTGACCAAAAAGACAGAAAAAGGCACAGACTACCGGAGAGCAAATCTCCATCTCTGGATAAAACTACGTGGCCTGAAATCCTTTCTGGCAGTAGAGAGGAAAATAAGAAAATAAACAATGAGGAAAAGATGAAAGAAAGGAAGCAAAGAGAAAATAAAAGAGTCACCCTGTTCTTTCAATGCCAAGAACAGGTTGATTTATGAGTAATTAGAACCAGCCAAACCACACAGCCCATAAAAGACCAGACCTCCATGGAAGAGAATTAAACCTCTACCTGATAAAGAGTGACACAGCTTACATATTTTTGCTGTTACTTTCATTTTGGTATTTCTTTAAAACAAATTCTAGAAGAGATAGGTGATTATCCCTTTTTCTGATTTATTTGATGTAAGCAAATATAACCATCAACTGGACTGATTTTTAGGAGAAATCTCTAAAGCAATGTATTTTTCATGTTTGTACAAATAGGGGCTCTGAGTTACAGATTTTGGGTCCTCCTGATTGTCTTGAAATTCATCTCTGGAGATATCCACTCCTGGCAGGGTCACCCCTGCCCTCCTTTCACTAATCCTTCACTAACTTCAAAGTTGTAGCAAATTCTGCTCCCTCCACCCTGGCCCACCCTTCACCTCTCACCCAGTCCCTTGATGTCCTTATAGCTAGACCAGTGAAAAGTACCTCCTTCTTGCAAGAAGTTTCTGGAGTCTGGTAGGACTGAGAGAGCTATAAAAATGAAATTTTTACTGATAGCTGTTAGAAACAGTTATTGAGATAGTACCTGAGCCAGGTGCATGTTTTCCTCATTTTCAGCCTCTCGATCTGCAGGRAATGCAGAGGAAAATGTTATAAAAAGCAAACTCAGAGGCAAAAGGCTCTTCATTCCTCTTTCTCTTCAGTTAAATCCTGTTCCTATTTGTACAGAATTCAAAAAGCAATAGTGAGACGTGGCATGAATTGGCTTGTATCATCATTTAATTAATAACAGAAAAGAATACTTGCCATGAAGTGTGTCATGACTTGCTCCATGAAATAGACTTGATTTCACAATCACAGTCTGTAATTATTTGGTAAACACATTGTTCACTATTGAACTGAATTCATGGTGCGGTGAACCTCCAAGTTACTTTTCTCCTTGCAAAGTTGGTAATTTTTCTATTCATAAATTCTCTAAGAGTTTGCAAAATGATTCTCTTTTGAAGAAACCCAAAATATCTTAGTAGTGAGGTATTCTGTAAAAACAATTGAATCAGGAATCATATTGTGTAATTAACAAAGTAAACATCAAATATTTATCAAGCACCTGCTCCTGTGTTACCTGCCTCTGTGACTATAGCCAGCCTGGAGAACTTGGACTTACACAGACACTGATGGCAGGTAAAACAGAGGCAAAGGAGGCCCAGTCAGTTCATGAAGACTGAGAGGGACCAAAATCAGGGGAATCACTACTGGTGATGGCCCAGAGGCCTCATTTGGGTCAGACAACTGGCATTGGGGCTGGCAGTGGATCTTGGAGAACATAGGAATCAATCCCATCACATGGGATTGGCGTATGGGTGCGGGGAGGCCACAGGAAGCAAGTAACAGCAGGAACCAGCCTTGGGAATTCTGGCCATGGTGGACAGAATAAAGGGCTCGTGGAGGAGATGGCTAATGGGAACGATGAAGAATTTGTAGAGGACCCAGATAATGAAGGACATCGAAGGCCAAATTTAACATTAGAGGTGAAGATATGGATAGTGTGGTCCCCTTGGATTAGTTTCAACATGTTCTTTTCTTCTACACCACTAGTGATGACCATGTCCTCTCACCTGTTCTTCTGTTTTTCTCTACCAATTGTTAAAAATTTCTTCCCTTTCTTCCCAAATTTTAACTCCTCAATGCATAATCCTTTCCAAATTTTCCTTATCTGTCTCCTGAATAAAATTTCTGTGACATAGCTGAAAATCATACTATAAACCCTAAGTAGACATATAATTTTCTTGTTTTTAATGCTCATATGATTTTAAATCCTGTTACATAAGTAGTATTTACTCATTTAATATATACATGTATATAAGATATATAGTTTAAAAAGCATATATTTAACTATATATAACTACATGTAACTACATATACAAACTACATATAGTTTTAGAGCTTATATATAAATACACATACTATATATATGTAGTTATATATAAATCAATTTAGATGTAGATAGATTTAGTTTCAAATCATCTCATTGATCTTTGGTAGAGCGAAGGATCCAGGGGAGTTGGTAGACATGATCAAGATTTATGTTCTACATTAAACAGAGACGAGTGGGGGGAGAGAAAGGGAGAGAGAAGGGAAAGCATATRGAAATGGTAGGAGACCCTCAATGTTACACAAAATTACATAKAAGAGGWTGTGAGGGGAAGGGGGGGGGAACAAGGGAGAGAATTGAACAACAGCAGATGTGGTAGAGAGGGAAGATGGGAGGGGAGGGGAGGGGGGATAGTAGGGGATAGGAAAGGCAGCAGAATACAACAGTCACTAATATGGCATTATGTAAAAATGTGAGTGTGTAACCGATGTGATTCTGCAATTTGTATTTGGGGTAAAARTGGGAGTTCATAACACAATTGAGTCAAATGTATGAAAGATGATATGTCATGAGCTTTGTAATGTTTTGAACAACCAATAAAAATGAATAAATAAATAAATAAATAAGAAAATCAAAACTAAAAAAAAAAGATTTATGTTCTAATGATTTTGGAAGCTGGTGTATATGCATGTTATTATTCTTGTTGTTATTCTTTTGTGATTTTTAACTATAAAATATTTCAGAACAAGATTTATAAGTTGAAGAGTTACCAAAACCAAGAAAATAGCCAAATGGTGATATATTGTTAACAGCTGTTCATTCTTTTTTTTTAATAGCTACACATGACATTACAATGATCTTGGCAATTCATACATTTGAATAAATTGGGGTATAATTTCTCATTTTTCTGATTGTACAGATTGCAGAATCACATTGGTCATAGAGTCACCTATATACATACAGCAATCATACAGCTGTTCATTCTTTAAGTCACACAAACAGCATTAAATTGTGTCTGTATACCTTTTCTCCTCATATTTTATTCCACGTTTCTAAATAGCATGTTTATGCTACTAGTTCTTGAGTTTTCAATGTTAAGTGCTATTAACATTTATCTGTGGAAGAGGCTGAGTCAACATTCACCTTACTTCCTCCTCCATTTTCCTACTTTGGTTATAGTGAAGTTTCTGTTGATCATTGATCAGTGTTTTTGCACTTATGACAATGAAAATACTATTCCTAAGACAGCGTGTAGTGTGTTATGATAATATCTCCTTTCCTGAAGAAATTTTTCCCCTTTAACTTTTTATTTGCACATTCTTTTACAAAATCTCCAATAGAACTCTTTTTATTGATTTTTTATATATGACAGCAGAATGCATTACGATTCATATTACACGTATAGATCACAAATTTTTCATATCTCTGGTTGTATATAAAGTATATTCACACCAAATTGTGTCTTTATACATGTACATTGGATAATGATGTCCATCACATTTCACCGTAATTTCTAACCCCCTGGCCCTCCTTTTCCCTCCCACCCCTCTGCCCTGTCTAGAGTTCGTCTATTCCTTCCATGCTCTGCCTTCTACCCGACTATGAATCCTTATATCAGAGAAAACATTCGGCATTTTTTTTTTTTTGGTTTTTGGGGATTGGCTAACTTCACTTAGCATCATCTTCTCCAGCTCCATCCATTTACCTGCAAATGCCATGATTTTATTCTCTTTCATTGCTGAGTAATATTCCATTGTGTATATATGCCACATTTTTTAATCCATTCATCTACTGAAGGGCATCTAGGTTGGTTCCACAGTTTAGCTATTGTGAATTGTGCTGCTATAAACATTGATGTGGCTGTGTCCCTGTAGTATGCTGTTTTTAAGTCCTTTGGGTCTATACCGAGGAGTGGGATAGCTGGGTCAAATGGTTGTTCCATTCTCAGATTTCCAAGGAATCTCCATACTGCTTTCCATATTGGCTGCACCAATTTGCAGTCCCGCCAGCATTTTTTCCCCACATCCTCACCAACACTTATTGTTGTTTGTCTTCATAATAGCTGCCATTCTGACTAGAGTGAGATGAAATCTTAAGAGTGGTTTTGATTTTGATTTGCATTTCTCCAATTGCTAGCAATGGTGAACATTTTTTCATATATTTGTTGATTGATTGTATATCCTCTTCTGAGAAGTGTATGTTAAAGTCCTTGGCCCATTTATTGACTGGGTTATTTGTGGAGTTTTTTGTTTGTTTGTTTTTTGACGTTTAGCTTTTTGAGTTCTTTATATACCTAGAGATTGGCGCTCTATCTGATGTGTGAGGGGTAAAAATTTGCTCCCAAGATGTAGGCTCTCTATTCACCTCACAGATTGTTTCTTTTGCTGAGAAGAAGCTTTTTAGTTTGAATCCATCCCATTTATTAATTCTTGATTTTAATTCTTGCACTATAGGAGTCTTATTAAGGAAGTTGGGGCCTAATCTGACATAATGGAGATTTGGGCCTACCTTTTCTTCTGTTGGACGCAGGGTCTCTGGGTGTATTCCTAGGTCTTTGATCCACTTTAAGTTGAGTTTTGTGCGTGGTGAGAGATTGGGGTTTAATTTCATTTTGTTGCATATGGATTTCCAGTTTTCCCAGCACCATTTGTTGAAGAGGCTATCTTTTCTCCAGTGCATGTTTTTGGCAACTTTGTCTAATATAAGATAATTGTAATTTTGTGGGTTAGTCTCTGTGTCCTCTATTCTTTACCATTGGTCTACCAGTCTGTTTTGGTGCCAATATCATGCTGTTTTTCTTATTATTGCTCTGTAGTATAGTTTAAGTTCTGGTATAGCAATGCTACCTGCTTCAGTCTTCCTGCTAAGGATTGCTTTAGTTATTCTGGGTCTCTTATTTTTCCTGATGAATTTCATGATTGCTTTTTCTATTTCTATGAGAAATGCCATTGGAATTTTGATCAGAATTGCATTAAATCTGAATAGTGCTTTTGGAAGTATGGTCATTTTGATAATATTAATTCTGCCTATCCAAGAACAAGGGAGATCTTTTCATCTTCTAAGGTCTTCTTTGATTTCTTTCTTTAGGGTTCTATAGTTTTCATCATATAGATCTTTCACTTCTTTAGTTAAGTTTATTCCCAAGTTTTTTTTAGGCCATTGTAAATGACTAGTTTTCCTCATTTCCCTTTCAGAGGATTTGTCACTGATACACAGAAATGCCTCTTATTTATGGGTGTTGATTTTATATCCTGCTACTTTGCTGAATTCATTTACTAGTTCTAGAAGTCTTCTGGTGGAACTTTTTGGGTCTTCTAGGTACARAATCATATCATCAGCAAATAGTGCTAATTTAAATTCTTCTTTTCCTATGTGTATCCCTTTAATTTTTTCCATTTGTCTAATTGCTCTGGCCAGTGTTTCAAGAACTCTGTTAAATAGAGTGGTGAAAGAGGGCATCCCTGTCTTGTTCCAGTTTTTAGAGGGAATGCCTTAAATTTTTCTCCATTTAGAATGATGTTGGCCTGGGGCTTAGTGTAGATAGCCTTTATATTGTTGAGATATGTTCCTGTTATCCCTAATTTTTCTAGAATTTTGAACATGGAGGGGTGCTGTATTTTGTCAAATGCTTTTTCTGTGTCTATTGAGATGATCATATGATTCTTATCTTTGAGTCTATTGATGTGATGAATTACATTTATTGATTTCTATATGTTGAACCAATCTTGCATCCCTGGAATGAATCCCACTTGATCATGGTGCACTATCTTTTTGATATGTTTTTAAATTCGATTTGCAAGATTTTATTGAGAATC